AATGTCACCTTATCAGAGACACCTTCCTTCCCCCCATCTACTTTCTCACCCTGTCCTAGAATTCCCTTTCCCTCTTACCCACCTTTATTTTTTTCTCCAAAGCACATTTCACCATCTTATTTGTCTGTTTATTTATTATCTGTCTTCCTGACATTAGAATGTATGTGCCATGAGGGCACCGTCTTGCCTGTTTCATTCACTGCTGGATATCTACTGCCTAGAACAGTATCTGGTACATAGTAGCATGCAATAAACATTTGATGGCTAGAGAGCAGACAAACCAAAGAACACAGAAATCAACGGAAAGATGCAATTACTGGGCAGCACCGAGAACTAGGAAACCTGGGTTTGAGCCCTGATTCTGACTCCATGAAAACTTTCCCAGTGACTTCCCCATTCTGCTTCCCTAGACCCCCCTGCTCCAGCCCTATGTCTTTCAGAGCCTTTCCAGCTTTCCACCCAGGACTGGAAGTGGCAGTGGCTGAAGCAGACACTCCACAGGGTAGAGGTAAGACACAAAGTAAAGGTGCAAGGCCAGGGAAGGCAGCTGTGAAAGCATTATCCATATCCATATCTTAGCTTTGGTTGTCTGCACTGAAAAAGAGCCAAGTGAATTCTGTAGGATGTCACTAGACAACTTCATAACAGAGAATTCGTCATAAAATAACAAAGAGTTCGCTGACTCAGCTGATAAGACATTGAGACTCTTAATCTTGGAGTAGTACATCCATCCAGACACTGGGTACAATCTTTAGTTTGGAAAGAAGCCATGGTATCAAAGATCCAACTTTGGAGACAGATTGTTTGGGCTCAAATCCTGACTCTGACACTTACCAACTATGTGATCTTCAGAAATTTGTGTAATTAAACTGGGTTTGCTAAATGGGTATAATAATATCAATCACATACAGATTTTGCAATAAGTAAATAAATGTGAGTGGTAAGCACAGAAATGGGCACAGAGGGAGGACTTTATGAAAGAGAGTTACTGTTACAATTATTAAAAATTACCACCACGACTCCAGTACAGACAAAATGAATTTCAATATTCTCAAGAGTGGGAAAATTAATATACAGAGAAATTTTATTTTTAAGGATATATTAACACAGATCTCATCATCATCTAAGTCTTCTTCATTATACACATATATACTATATGTGATGCAAAAGACCAAAACTGTCTACAAACTTTTGATTAAGAAAATCCTGTGAAGTTGAAAAACCACAATTAAATATTTTACTGTAAAGCTTTCCCCCATCTTGTTCTTCCCAAGACCTCTGAGAAGTCCCAACCACAGACAAATAGAGCAATGAGCCAAAACAGGGGCAAAGTCCCAGTGAATTAACGTGGGAAAACTGTATGATTCGATGTTATTTTACATTTAAAAACAATAAATTTGACTTACAACTAAAGCATTAGACACTACTGAAAAGTTGATGACAAGTAATAGGCAGTTTAACATATATTTTGACCCACAGGAATTAAAATTTAAACAATGGTTTGAGGTTGTTTTGTAATAGTTTTAGAATATACAACTAAAATGCAAACAATGATTAGAAAAAAACTCTGAAAATAAAAATTTTATTTTTTTAAATCCTGCTTCATATCCCAAATCTAAATGGCTTTATATAAAACACTGGTCTTTGTGATTCACAAAAAGCAGGTGCCAATTCCTAAACATGAACTCAAGTGACAGGAGAAACTCTCAATGCTATTATAGCCCTGAGTATGAGCCCTGATCTAATAATCTGTCTTCATTAATTCCTTTTCATTCCATCTTTGTGAAAGAGGGGAGGAAGAAGATGGCGAGAGAGGGCTAGACGTGCCTACTCCGTTCTGTAGCACCCAGTTCAGTGCCAGGAACAACAAAATACAAGTATTCATAAGAGCCCAAAAACATTAAAGTCCAAATAAGGAGGAAAACTAATTCCCTAATAAGTATATATATATATATATATATATGTATATATATATGTACATGTATATGTATATATATAT